ATCGGGAAACGGGCCGTTTCTGGCCTCTGGGGAAGGCCATTTTCGCCCTCCCCAGGCTGGGTGGGGAAGGCCATTTTCGCCCTCCCCAGGCTCCTAGAAAGCTTCTAGAGCCTGGGGAGAGTGAAAAACTGGCCTTCTGGTCCCACTGGAATTTGGGAAATGGGCCATTTCCAGCCTCTGGAGGGTCTCCAGGGAGCTGGGGAAGGCCGTTTTCACTCTCCCCAGGCTCCTAGAAAGCTTCTGGAGCCTGGGGAGAGTGAAAAACAGGCCTTCCGGTCCCACTGGAACTTGGGAAATAGGCCATTTCTGGCCTCCGGAGGGTCTCCGGGAGGCTGGGGAAGGCAGTTTTCACCCTCTCCAGGCTCCTAGAAAGACTCTGGACCTGGGGAGGGTGAAAAACGGGCCTTCCTGTCCCACTGTGCCATCATGCATGGAGCACATTGAATTATGGGTGTGGGCACGCACGCATGCAACCCCCCTGCATTCCCCCCACTTTTGGCACGCAATGGCAAACAGGTTAGCCATCACTGGTCTATATAATTCTTAAGAGTCAAGATCAATTCAAAGGTAATTTTATTTTGTTCTGTCCTATATTTTCCAAAAAATTCTACTGATGTTATGTCACATTTTACTGCCAAGGGTTTAACTGATAAGAACTAACTTCTCTGATAGACCCACTTTATACTACATGCCTTCTGTTAATAATGATTATTTATTTATTTAATTTCTATAGCTGCCCAATTATGCCAGACATCACCTAAAACTGATATTCCTACAATTCACAACTCATATCTGGGTGCCCCATGGGTTACAAATCGCCTAACCCAGCATATGTACTCACACATATAACACATTCAGACATACAATACTTTTTATGGTGTGGTTTTCAATGATGAGACACGAGCAAAATAAATATTTAAGTTCCCTTTTTCTAATTCATTGAAATAATTTTTCAAAGTTTCCATGACAAGCATCTATTTTGTAACAGGTAACAGCAAAAAAAAAAAAAAAAAGTTACTAGCATGTACACTGACATAGAGATGTACAAATCAGATGGTCAGTTTGGCTATCTATTCAGTGAGCCTTCCGAAAGAAAGACTGAAGTAGCAAGAGATTGAAAGGCAAGGAGAATAGGAAATCACTATCTGAGTGATGAAGACAGATGTCACACTTTAAAGTACAGAGGATTCCTCTTTTATATTGTAATGAAGTTATCTATTGTTCATTTTCAGGTAGTCATTGAGTAATGTTCAGCAACTGAACCTCAGCAAAACAGAAGGACAGAATAAATGTAAGGACACAGAAATGGAGATTCAAATACTTTTGCAAAATGAGAACTTATCTTCACCCTTTCAGATTATCGGCATTTCACATAACATTGGGATTGTCATGAAACACTGAACATAGAAACATAGGGCTTGAAGGGACTTCGGAGGACTTCTAATCTAACACCCTGCCAATGGCAGGGGATCTTATACAATCCTGGTAAAATGGTGGTTCCCATCTATTTTTGAAATAGTGCGCTCACAACCCCAGGAGGCAAGCTATTTCAATTATTAATTATTCTCATTGTCAGAATTTTTTTTTTACTTCTTGGTTGGATCGCTCTGACAATTTCCCATCCATTACTGCAGATTGGAACTGCTAGAGAGAAGCTATCTGAATCCTCTTCCTGTCACCCACTTTCAAAACTCTGCAGTCTTTTTGCCTTCTGGAATGCAACTCTTCTATCCTGGAAATCCAGACTACATTCTACCACAGAATGGTATATTTCTATTGTTTCTTTCTATGTCTACTTCTATTTCTCACAGGTTCATGCAGCCAATAGGACCGTGCACATTACCAGAAACATTTGGAGATGCTTCAGCCCAGTTTGATCACTTTTTCTTTATTACAGCAGCTCCTCTTTATTTTTGAGGTTTCTGTGTAAGACTGAAAAAAAGTGCATTAATTAAAATTAAGAGCAATTTATAGAGCAGCTAAAATTATTTTTCAGGCTCAAACAGAAACAGGAAAAAGTAGGAATTACTTTAACTAATAGCCGATAGATGAGTGAATTGCCACCAAGTAGTTGTCAGAAGTAGAATGTTCCTATTCTGTTATTTCAATTAGAAGGCAAAACTGTGCAGTGGGAACGATACAGTTTCTCGGGTATCATTAATACAGAAGTAGAAACTCAATGTATAGGGGTGCATAAGCTGAAAGTCTACATTCAGCATGCATAAAATATCTGCATAAAGTGAACATATAAAGTAAGTTTGGGTTTTATCCATTGCTTGGTGCATTTAGCACATTTTTTTGTGAGGTAAACTCCCCCACCCCCATTTTAGCAGTTTTCATGATGTCAGCTCTTTATGCATCACTGCATATTGTGCACACACTCAACATACACACACCCACAACCCACACACACGTACACAAAGCTAAATTGCAAAATAATAAAAAGTATTTCAGATCATAAGTTGCTGAGAGGAATCCACTCCCACTAAATAATCTTTTGATCTTTAGTTCATTGAGATTGACTTCCTTTCTTCTTCCTCCAGCTGATACTCAGCTTGGTAAATATTTTTTCTATGAAAGAATTGGAATAAAGTAACTTTCCTTGATACTGGAAGCCCAGCTTACAATAAGTAAACAGTTACAATAAGTACCCTTGGCAACGAGATTTTTCAATCTATACTAAGTATTTTCAAGGAGGCAGGGTTTTCCTCCCAAGAAAATGGAGAGATGTAGCAGCCTTTTATTAGAAAAGAAAACACTCCTTTACTAAAAACTCAATTAAGTGAAGGAAGAAACTGTCCCTGGCTGTAGGGTTAATCATCTTAACAAAAACTGATAACATTAGATAACAGATCTATAATTAATGTAGTTCTAATTACTGGAAGACTGGTCAGCAGATAGGCACACTGCTGCTTGAGTCCAGCAATATCTACACCTTGAATTTCTAAACTATTTTTTTTTCCCGAGGCAACAATCCCTTCTCACAAATACAGATTTAAAAATAAATGAATTGCAAGTTTTCTTCTCTGGGTAGATCAGTCACTGTTAGGCCTATTCTTTGATTAAAAACCCAAAGTTCAGGAACAAATATTTCTTATACAAAAGTATGGGAAAAGATTTTTATCCTGCATTTCAGCTGTTAGAATGGCTTGAAGACCATCTCTTCTTTAAAAAATGGAAATGAGAAATTATAGCTCATGAAACTAACTGCCCCTCTTGTGGACAACTGTGGTGATGGACACACCACAGACAAATTTGTAGAGGATTTACTGTTGGCATCTACTAATTTTGATTGCTATTTATTAAACTGATGTGAAACTGATGTGAATTAATTCAATTTAGAAAATTGTGTTAATTCAAATGTTGGTTTCAAAGAACCAGATAAGTTCAGTTTACCTGACTGATTTCATTTGAAAAATGAGGGTTGTTTTTGGCAATATGCAAATTGTCAAATAGATTGAGAAAGTTAATTTGCAAAATTGATTTAATGAAACAGTTTAGCAACTCAGTTACTAGTACTAGCATAACTGTGGTTATAGGATGGTCTGAGAAATTGAAAAGAATCTCAGGAGGCAATAGAAAACTTCTTGGGTACTAGTGCCAAGAAAACTGCATGGATGTGTGCATGAAACCACTAGGAACCAAGCTCAACTTAAACTTTATCTGACTAACAAGAAGCACACAGAAAAACAATTGTAAGGTAGCCACAGAAGAAAAAGAGATATCATCCTCTTGCCTTTATGTATGAATTTCCTGAATTTATTTGGTTATTCAGAGAAGAAATATGTTGGATTAAATGGGCCTTTATTCTAATTCTGCAAGTTTTAAAAATACGTTTCTAAATCCTACACTTACAGTAATATTTAATAATAGAAAAGACTCAGTATAGTTGAATACATTTATTTCAAAAATGCAAGATTGCCACCTTGTGGTTATTTCAGTAACTTACTATCCTGACAAGATCTCTTCTATTTACTTGGGAGTAACCACAACTAAATACTGTTTATTTCTTAATAAGGCACTTAGTCTGAAAGATATTTTAAGGCGTTTTTCCAGACAAAAATATTTCAGACAGTTTTCTTCCCTAGCCTCTTTTGAGTCAGTGTTAAGACTAAGGTACTTTCTGCCCCAATACTGAACCTAATTGTGAATGCCTCAGTTTTATGAGATGTAGTGTTTCATTGTAGCACCTTACTGTAAGCAGACTTAGAGGTTTCAGTACAGAACCAAAAGGCAAACTCACGCTTTTTCTTTAGACATGCGAATGGATCCTTTAAACATATGGTATTTTAAATGAATTTATTAAATAATAAAACTCTGTCCAAGCGTGACTGTAATAGCACCGAAGATGCTAATCTAATTGCAATTTCACTTTGAGGTATTTATAAACCGTCTTATTTGGCCTCAAAACCCCAGTTTTTGTAGTTATGTAGTTTTGGATTATTTTCCTCAACGAACCAATAAACTAGTGTTTTGAACTCCTGTGTTCAACGGTTTTTTTTTTTTTTAAATCTAGTTTTAGGACTTGGGCGGAGAACAGATCACGTTTTCAGTTCATGTTTATGCAGAAATATGGAAAATTCAAAAGCGTTTACAAAACACTGTAAACTGGGTTAGTCACACTAGATTAGAATTATGGCGAGGGGGGAAAAATCTGAAGAAAGCAGCGGCAAAATATTCTCTTGAGCAGGGGATCCTCCAACCTTGGCAACTTTAAGCCTGGCGGACTTCAACTCCCAGAATTCCCCAGCAAAGCAAAGCTGGCTGGGGAAGAAGTTGAAGTCCGCCAGGCTTAAAGTTGCCAAGGTTGGAGGACCCCCTCCTCTTGAGGACTCAATTGAAACCACCAGCAATACAAGAGTTCACTCCTAAACCAGCAAACACCCGATGAAAGAGTTCCGCTTTCGTCTTCCATCATCTCACTGCCTTCACGTCACTTCCCCCCTCGCCGTCCCACGATTGGCTGCACGGAGCCGGATGCGAGGGCGGGCAATCCTTCCCCGTTGCCGCAGTGACAGGACCAGAGCGCTCTTGGAGCGGGGAAATGGCGGCGGCATCATCGTCGTCGCGTCGCTCGCAGCAGCATCATCACCATCACCCCGCTCACCCTCCAAGTCATCACTCAGTCCAGACGCCCGTATCTCCGCCTCGCAGCCCCAACCTTTCTCCCACCGGAGCTTCCCCTCAGCAGCGGCCCACTCTGGCCGGACTCGAGGGCGAGGCCCCCGCCAACAGCGGCCGGGAAGGGACGGCGGGAACCGAGAGGCCTTTTTCTCCAGAGAGCGCCTGCGAAAGCTCCGGGCCTCCGCCGCCTCCGGGCTCCGGAGCCAGCAGCGTCGCCACCACTAGCAGCAGCAGCAGCAGCTCCGTGTCTTCGTCTTCCTCCTCTGCGGCCTCCAGCCCGGCTGCTCCCGACAGCCCCGACCCACCCCCTCCGCCGTTGCAGCCCCTTCCTCCGCCCGTGGGAAGCGGCGCTTTTCGGGAGCTGCTCGAAGCCTGCCGCAATGGGGACGTAACTCGGGTCAGGCGCTTGGTGGATGCTACCAACGTCAACGCCAAAGATATGGCCGGGCGGAAATCCACCCCTTTGCACTTCGCGGCAGGTGAGAGTCCCGTGGGGCGGAGCGGGGCGGGGGGAGCTCCAAAGTATAGCGCCGGGCCCGCCGTTTGGTTGAGATGCTTTTGCCACCGATCTCTGAGGTGAAGAAACAGCCGCTCACCGTCCAAGGCCTCTAAGGCCAATGGCCCCAACTCCTTCTTGACCAAAAAAGAGGTGGTAGTAAGCCACAATTGGCTTCAGGCTTTCCGTCGCCTGCATGGAGCAAGGAGAAAAGCCTTGCACAGGAGGCAGCAAAAATGACTAGTTTCCTTCTGTGGGAACCATCCCCTCTGCTCTTGTCTGACCTGCTGAGGGTAAAGGAGGGTTTGCCCTGCTCAGACTGGCTCTTGTACTGTCCAGTGAAGAATGTAGGAAGTTGTGCCTGCCTTCTTTGGCTTTTCATTCTTTCTGGGGGCTCAGGAAAGAGACAAACAGATAAATCGGGGAAGGGGTGAAAGAATGTATCTTGAGGCGTTGCGCAGTAGGAAAGATAGAATAGAATATAATTTTTTATTGGCCAAGTGTGATTGGACACACAAGGAATTTGTCTTGGTGCATACTCTCTCAGTGTTATACTGTTAGAGCAAAGTAGGCTTGCACATTGTATTAAAATCATAAAATAGTTAATTGGTCAGATTTCAGCTTAGTCTACGATGTGAATCCGGCCATTGTGTTAATATGGCGAAGGAACCAAGAAAAGTGTGAGGGTTTGGCTCAGAAGGGCTGCCTGGAGAATGCCCATTCTGAATGGATCCTTTGATGAAGAAATGTATAGTTCCTAAGGATGAGAATAAGGAGTTCTTGGAAAAGGATTCTCTATATAACTTGGAATCATTCCTGGAAGGGTGAACAGTCCTGTATCCCTGACTACAGCATTCATTTAAAGAACAAGGAATGTAGAGCGTTTTAGGATTTTAATCCCAGTTTAGCAATAGTTGTTTCTAAGGCTCACTCCTCACATTGTGTTTTTCAGTTTATGGCTTTCATTAAATGTACAGTAATGTGAACTTATAATTATGCAGAAGATGTATCATCAGAAATTTTTATACGGTGTCTCAAAGATCATGTGGTATAGAGTTTCATAAATTAGACTTGGTAAAATCAATTGCATATGAAATTATTCCATTGAGTGGTCTATGTAATATGAAGTAACAAAAATAAATTTTATTTTATTTATTTATTTTATTTCGAATTTATATACCGCACCTTCTCCCGAGGGACTCAGGGCGGTGTACAGCCAGATAAAAATATACAATACAAACATTAAAAAACAAAAGGATATATATTAATTTGGCCCCAATTTAAGATAACAAACCAATTAAAAATTAAAAATATGTTAAAAAATACTTTAAGCCAGCCCGGCTTGCTGAAAAAAGAAAGTTTTAAGGGCACGGCGGAAGGCACCGAGGTCTTGGATTCTCCTTATCTCTGGGGGCAGCTGATTCCAGAGGGTAGGTGCCCCCACAGAGAAGGCCCTCCCCCTGGGGGTCACCAGCCTACATTGTTTGGCTGATGGCACCCCGAGGAGGCCCTCTCTGTGGGAGCGCACAGGTCGGTGGGAGGCCATCGGTAGCAGCAGGCGGTCTTGAAGATAACTAGGTCCTATGCCATGGAGCGCTTTAAAGGTGGTAACCAACACCTTGAAGCACACCCGGAAGACCACTGGGAGCCAGTGCAGCTCACGCAGGAGCGGTGTTATGTGGGAGCGCCAGGTGGCTCCTGTAATTACCCGCACGGCCGCATTCTGGACCAGTTGGAGCCTCCAGGTGCTCCTCAAGGGGAGCCCCATGTAGAGAACGTTGCAGTAGTCCAGGCGCGAGGTGACGAGGGCGTGAGTGACTGCACCGGGAATCCCAATCAAGAAAGGGCCGATCAAGAAATTGATTTGCGATTTCACATTCCAAGAAAGAAATGGGAAAAGTAGTGGAAAAGCATAAAAAACTTGAAAGTGTGATTCTTGCAATAATTTTACTTAAACAATTATTTATGGAATTGAATGGTTGATTTTGAAGAGCTAACTCAAAGATTGGTTGATTACATAACTGGCATTTTTAGTTTTGTTATATAAAATGTGAGAAACAATATGCCCAGAAATAATGGTTTTCTCTTTTCGGAAGCACTGCTTATAATTACAGCAAATGTCTTAAAAGTTTCCAAAAGAGGGACTTAAAGGATAGATCACATGCTTAAATCAGTTTAATAGACTTTGTCCCCCCAAACTGCTATTTCCAGTATTCTTTTGTTGGTCAGTATGAAACAAATACAGTATTATTTCCACAACCACATTTGGTACATAACTGGGAAAAAATCCTCCATATTGTTGGACCAACAATATGGAAAACACATGTTTATGTTTGAATGCAGACTATCCAAAACCAACTGTTCTCCCTTTATTGGTAAAACTCCACGACTTTTTTTAAAAAAGTTTTTGCTTGCTTTTCTGAGATGCATAAGATAAAATGAGGTAAAGCTATTTCAAATTGCTCCCATCATCTTCCTTCTGTTATCCAAATATTTTGTATTGTCAGCATTTTAAAGAAAAACCTTCTGGAGGTTCTAATATTTGTTCCAGTAATGTAGTGTAGTTTGCCCTGATAGCATATCCTGAATATATAGGGGTGCATAGATACATTAAGGGGGACGGTTTGATGTCGTGATTGTCAGGATAAAAACTGGGAGACTGAATTCTAGTGCTGTTTTAGGCACAAAGCCATCTGGGTAATCTTGGAAAAATCACTTTCCTCCAAGAAGGGAGGCAATGACAGACCACTTCCAAAACACCTTTCTGAGAAAATTGCAGGGACTTACTTATCCAGGCAGTCATTAGGAGTCAAAAACTAGCTTGAAGGCATAAACACATAATAAATGCATTGGAGATGATGCTCTGAGTTTGTATGTAATATTGATTAGATCTCACCTGCAATAATCTGTGAAATTCCACCCAATCTGCATCAAATAGTTATAGGTTCAGTAATAGGGCATTGATGTGCTAATAGTTTTTTGACACTAGTCAGCAGTGCCATTGTATTAAAAATTACTTTAGAGGAATAAATAATATTAGATTCAGGAATGATATGACTTGTGGTAGGTTAGATTCATACTGGTAATACCAAGCAGTAAAATGGTGTTTTTGATGTGTGAAATGGTTTGGAACACAGTTTGTTTTAGGATTACACTGTAATTCTAACCCATGATATCAGAACCTTTAATCTACAGAGATGTAGGAATAGGTAGCTGAGGGAATAAAATAAACCAGAAATTGGTCAAGGAAACAATCATTATTTTATATTATATTATTTTAATTTACATAAGTGATTAGAAAACCCAAACATTCACGAAGCACAGAAAATGTAACACTCAAAGTGAATCAATTTTTTTTTTACTCTAAACCGTGGCAAATAAATTCATGTCCTAAATTCTAATAATGTGCTTCATAGGAGATGTTAAAAATATAAAGTAAGGATGACAGAATTAATTGAACTGAATGTACAACTCTTTCTAAGCCTATAGATAGAATAAGGGATGCACTTCAGAAACTAGTGTGAGGAGCCAGGACAAAAACTAATTTAAAGTAATTAGATTTAATTAAGGTAACTATAGATAATATGATTGTTCTAATAAAGTATTTAATGATTTTTCCCTTCTATCATATAAAAACTAGTTTCGTAAAATTTTTAAGGTCTCTGGAGTTGGATATGCAAGACTTTCAGGGGCTCTTTGGGGTTGTGCATCTCTGCCCTATAATCTTGCTTGAGTGTTACAGAAATAATGTTGCTATTGAAGTTTTGAATGAAGGAATTAAATTCTGATGTACACGATAATGATACATAGCTAGTAGATTTAAATCTGTTTATTACTTGGTTTAGATCAGGGTGGATTTGATTTAAATCAACTCGATTTAAATCATTATTTTTAAAGAGCAACTGTCATTCCTGTCCCCCAGCAGCTCCTCCTCTGACCGATAATCCCAACATTGCAGAATATACAGCCTCATACTACATAACTAAGCTCCATTTCATGCTGAATAAACTAAATTATTAATGTATCTTAAATAGAAAGATAGAATCTATCTTTAGATAGATTTTTACTCCAAAAGCATTTTATTAAAATAAATTTGATTAAAAAATCAATTTAAATTTTAAAAATCTGATTTTTTTGATTTTTTTTAAAAAAATCTTGATTTTTATCCATCCTAGTTTGGATGTTATTACTGTAGACGTGCACTTTGATATATAGCTATTTTTAAATAACAACTCTAGAAAGTTTCTGATCTGAATTAAAGTAACAGGCCAGTGAAGTAAATTAGATTATCTTATATATTTTAACACTGTTTGCTGTGGGAAAGGATTTTAGCAAGAAAGAAAAGAGGTTAGAAATATTTTTTGATTGGCATTTGTAAACTTTTTTAAAACCAACAAAGCAAAATAGAGCTATACTATTTGCAGTGTATTAGCAACAGAGTAAATTATAAATGCGGTAAAATTTATTTTAGAGAGTTATACTCCTGTGTGCCATATAAAGTGGTAATATTTATGCATTTTATATTGCATTAATTCAACTTCTTTTCTAGGTTTTGGAAGAAAGGATGTTGTGGAACACTTGTTACAAACAGGAGCTAATGTCCATGCTCGTGATGATGGTGGACTGATACCTCTTCACAATGCCTGTTCCTTTGGTCATGCTGAGGTAGTTAGTCTCTTGCTGTGTCAAGGAGCAGAACCAAATGCCAGAGACAATTGGAACTATACTCCTTTGCATGAAGCTGCAATCAAAGGCAAGATAGATGTGTGTATTGGTAAGTACACCTTTGTTCACAACAACTGTTTTTTTATGTTAAAAAATTGGTAAATATCAAAGCCAAAGCTCATTTAGAAAATCCATTGAGTAGTCTGTACAAATAATCTAACTGCATTTTATAGCTCATAATCCATGATTCTTACTGTGTAATACAAAAAATAGAAATAGAATGAAACTTAATCAGCCAAAACAATGAATACATTCAGCACTGCCAAATTCAGTTTAAATATAAAACGCTACCATCTGTGGACTGAAAAATCTTGATATTTGATTCATAGAATGTTTGGGAATAACTTGCAACTTTTCTAAATGTAAGATAAGAGATAGCTGTCTATCCTTACCATATGTAAAATTTAAGAATACTTTCTATAATGTTTTCAGCAGGTTTTGTAGTTGTAATGCTGAATTACCATCATCATAAGACACTAATGTGCATAAATAATGGTGTAAGAATATATTTGATTGTAGTTTAACCTCTATATCAGTTAGGTTTTGATATTAAACTTAATTTTCCTTTCTTTTATTGATTATTAAATTCTTGATTTGACAGTTTTTTTTCCAGTATAGTAAGTTTAATTGTAATCACAGGTCATAAAATATAAAACATACCATAAAATGCAATATAATAAAATAACTGGAATACTGTTTGTATTATAGCATGAAGTTATAAAACAGTATCGGATGTAAAAAAGTTAAACAAGATAAATCTGAGGCTACAAATAAAAAATATTTCTAAGTTTTGAATTTTGAATTAGTGATATCTCACTTTACTTTGTGTTTTAGAACAAATATTTGTATTAGCTAAATTGTTAATTTTACTATGAAGATCAAGAATAGATAAAAATGCTTCTTAGTTATCTGTATTATTAAAAGAAAATAGTTTGGGCTTCTTGTTTTTGAAAGTCTATGAGTATTTGGTAAAGTAAAATAGATAACTGCAACTTATTTGCAGAAAGTAAAGCTAATTGAAATTAAGCTCCTAAAAATCAGCATTATTAGTGTTTTAACACTACAAAATACAATTATCACATACTTTTTTGCAATAAAATATAGCAATTTTCAATATTGTTTAGGGATAATTATTAGCAAAGTGACAGATGACTGCATGTTTATGATGCTTGGTATATTTTAGAAGAATCAATGTAACAGACAATCTGCTTACTCAGAAAACTTTGTAACAAATTATATGTGCATATTTTCTAGACAGTAGATGTGTTCATGGCAAAATACTTTTTGAAACTTTTACACCAAATGTCAGTTAAAGGAGATAGAGAATGTGCTCTGTACATTCATGTCAATTCTGTATTGTCAATAATTAGTTTAGAGAAAATTTGCAGTCTAATAGTAGATTTATGGGTCTAAATTGTTATGTGATATAAGGAGGGATGTTCACCCTTGAGGAAAAACCAGTCAGTAGTTGAATAGTCTATTAAACAAAAGCAGCTTTCTGGATTATGATCTTTGTTGGAAAAAATTGGCAGCATGATCAGTGTATATGTTTATTGGCAGTTGCATTTATTCTATATGCCAAATGTTTGAGAATTATTATTATTTCTTTATTCAGTACTGCTGCAACATGGAGCTGATCCAAATATTCGGAATACAGATGGAAAATCAGCTTTAGATCTTGCAGATCCTTCTGCAAAAGCTGTACTTACTGGTGAGTACATATGATTGTTAAGACATATAATTAGCTTCTAAAATTCTATCTAGATTTTCTGGGATAAAAACAGAACACTGTATGTGTTGATTTACTGCTATTAAGGGATCAAAATCTACTTTGCTTATTGTGTTTACTTTTAGGCATATGATAGGACTTGGAACTTGTAATTTAATGATTTTGGTTAAAGTTTACGTAACTAAGTATTCTTTAAGAAATCTGCAAAGATTTAGGATGGAAATGGCACAGAATTGTACAGAAGTGACATTAATTGCATGCGTGGATACTCCTATGGTGTGAGTACAATCCTCATTGTGTTGCGTTATCTCTAAGTGGCTTTCCATATTACTATATCCTGGGCTTTCACCAGTGGTTGGGAGTGGGAGGCTGTGAGTTGCAGAAGTTTTGCTTCTTAGACTGTTGGTTCCAATTGGTGATGATAAGGGAAAAGTCCATTTCATAACTCCTTAATTGTGGCGTACCATAGTGGTCAGTGCTCTTTCCTTTCTTCAAGAAACTCTCAAAAAATTTCATGAAGCCCTGAGTGAGGCCATCTTTCAACACAGGTTCTGATGTCATCAATATATTGATGATACTTAATTTCCCATCTTGACTTTGAGCCAAGCATGTAATACCATTGACGTGTTGTATTGGGATCTAGTGGCTGACAGAATCTGAATAGAGAGAAACAGAGTTATGCTTGGGTTTGGAAGCTATCCAATTCCAGAGAATTATCAGCTTTACTACTGGATGAAATCATACTCCTTCTTATGGAACTGACTTGTAAAAGGGATTCTTCTGGTCTTTTAGGTTCTGCTGGTTGGGTAGGTTACAGTTACGTCCAAGAAAACTTTGTACAATTAAATTTATTGCAACTCCACTGATTGGCTCTAATCATAGTCACGCCTCATTTACTGTTTCACTGACTATACTATCACTTTGTACTCTACAGTGGGCTGTCTTGTAAAGTAATGAGAAGCTGTAGTTGGTCTCTAATATAGTGCTATCAGGGCTTCTACAGGAAGTAGTGCAAATTGAAGATGGTTCTGCAAAAAGTGGGACTGACAACCATGGTGAAGAACGGAGAACTAGCGAGTAGACTGATTCTCCTCAGATAAGAAGAGGATAGATTACCCACATGCAAGACAGCAGTCCCTGGCCGATTTTGAGCACTGGGAGATGATGGGAATAGCCATCTTGCTTGCAACCACGGTCAGTGCCTTTGAAAAAACACTAAGTTTGAAGGCTCTCTTACAATTTAGAAATTATGTTTGGAAATTGCTTGTTAACTACTACTAAGCTATTGAAGACCTTCAGATCAACAAATGTGAAAAATTCAGATGAGTTTGCCTTCAATTCTTAATGAAAGAAAATTTTAATCATAAGCTTAAGTATTTTTTAAAAACTGATATTAACAGCAAAACATTGATCCTTGAAAGTTATAAACTGATTAATTTTAAGTAACTTTAAAAATTGGACACGAGAGAATTAAATATTTTAATTAAGGGAGACGAATATACAGGCCTGATTGACAGGAAATTAACTAGAACTTATTAAATGATGCAAAACATAAAGTGAAAGTACTGAAGGACACTTTTGAAAAACAGAATCAGAAGTTGATATCAACAGTGTCAGTAGCAAGTGTTTGCTTCTACAGATAGACTATGTCCAAAATATGTTATGGAAGAAATAGCAGATGAGAAACAAGTTTTATTTGACATGATAGAGATGGCATTGAAAATGGATCTATAAATGACATTCTATGAACATGACATGGAAAAGAATGTGCCACTGAACATAACAAATGTGCCACTGGACATAACAAAAGAAACTGGTTGATGTTTCCAAAAATACAAATAATGAACAAGGAGAGTAACCTGAATAATTTTTATATTGGATTTACAAACAAGGATTGTTAAAGCTTTGAGAAGAAGAGGCAAAGAATAAATAAAAAGAAAGCATATTTTATTTGATTGGATTAAAAATTAAGACTGTTTAAAGTAAAAAAAAATGAAATTGGTTTATTTGATCAAGGTTAAAATAAAATACGTTGTTATTTTGATAAACCTTAATTCATTAACTTTCTGGTGTTACCAAGACTGAAAAGATCATGCTTTGTGGATTTGTCTATAGATAAGAGATGGAATATGGATGAAGAGGTCATGCATTGTAAACGAAGAGGGAATGAGGAGTTACTAAAATTATTTATAATTGAACTGAAGGCTGAAGGTCACCCTTTTCCTTCTTGTTATTATATTCTTTCTTTTTTTCTTCCCATTTTCTGATTTTTCCTTTTGTACCTTTCACTCTTTTTATTTTTTTAGTTTTACACACATACGCATACATACTGTCTTTCGTAATTAAGGTCACTTTCATATGAAGAACAGTTGCAGGAATTGGGTATGTCTAGTTCAATGAAAAGAAGGATTAAGGGTGACAGCAATGTTCTAAGGGGCTGCCACAAAGCACCAAGAGGTAGGACAGGAAGCAATGGATGGAAACTAATCAAAAAGGGAACCAATCTAGAACTAAGGAGAAATTTCCTGACAGAACAATTAATCAGTGGAACAACTTATTTCCAGAAATTGTGGGTGCTCCAACACTGAAAGTTTTTAAGAAGAAACTGGACAACCATTTGTCTGAAATAGTATAGGGCAAGAGTGTCAAACTCGTGGTCCACAGGCTGGATGCATCACACGCTGGCCACGCCCATCCCCAGTTTAGCAAAGGGAAAAAAGTCATGATATGTCATGTGACGACAATGTGACGCCACGAGTTTGACACCCCTGGTATAGGGTCTTCTGCTGTTGGACTAGAAGACCTCCAAGATCCCTCCCAACTCTGTTATTCTGTTATTCATCCTTTGTTTACATAACACCACAATTTTAAGAGTTACACTGATCGTCATCTGACTGAGTGCCATTCAAGGTGGTAGTTAGAATCTTTGGTTTTCTCTAGGCTTGGTTGTTTTCTTGCAGAAATTTTATTACCTAATTCTTCAGTGTTAGAAGACGTTTGCTCGTATTTATATACAGTATTTTTATTTATTTGTTTATTTGTCTATTATTTTTACAAATAACTAAAGGTGGTGAACTTACACAACACACCTTCCTCCTCCTATTTTTATACAGTAGCTTTCCTTTTCAGTGTTAGTGGGCAACTCTTTATGGTTCAGGATTTGGATTTTGGCAATAGTCCTGTCCTCATACCGTAATATAATCAAGTAGGGTGGGCTTGCTCACAATCTTAGTTTCTTTGCTCATCAATTACCTATTTACTCATAAACTGCCATTTTCAAGGATCACAGAGACAAGCCTTCTCAATTGCTGCCCCCTTTGAAGTCAGCCCTTCAGCATAGACCAGACTAGGAAACTAAAATTATGAATGCTAGTACTACTTTTTTATTTTATTTTATTTTATTTTTTATTATTATTATTTTTTATTTTTTTATTTTTATTTTTATTTTATTTATTTATTTTATTTTATTTATTTCCTTTCATTTCATTTTATTTATTTTTTTTATTTTTTTATTTCATTTGCCACCCTTTTCATTTTGAAGCGATTCTTTTATTATAGGTTTATAGTAATAGAATCTTGTAAGACTAATGCACTTACCCTCTCCTGCCTTTATCTTCAAGGAAACTAGGGATGGTCAATTTTGAGACATTTTCTCTAAATTACTTTTCTCCTTTTGTTTTTATTTGATTGTTGCCTTGGTTGCAACTCTTCCTCCTATTTTTTTCAGGATTATTCTTACACCCCATTACATCTAGACAAAAATATTCCCCTGGATATCTGAATGGCCTGCTTAGCTAAATTCCATCCAGTCACATCCAAACAAATTTTGTACAATTGTTTCACCAAAAAGTCAAAACATTTTATTAAATACATGATTATTTTTCTCCTATAGATTGTCATTTCAAATTAGGGCAAATGGGATTTGTTTGAGAATTGCTTAATATAGCCCTAAACTCTTTGATTAAAGAAGTCAGTCTTAATCCTAGACAAGGCCCTGATGACACATCTTTCATTTTAATAATGCAGGCCCTAAATCCAACAGATTATCCTAAATTAGACCTACTCGTAGACAAAGGAAACAGTGGAGAGGTATGAAGGTTGGTGCAATTAGCCATGAAATTTGATTGATTGATTGATTCAAATTGGAGTAGTTAATGGAAGATAGGGGTGCTAGTATGATAATACCCTCATCTCTCTCTGCCAGTTTTATTGCTTTTAAAGTAGCATTTAGTCCTGATAATAATCATTCTCCTTATTGAGAGTTTAGCTCCCAGTACATTATTAGACAGATACTGTACTTGCGTAAATGTGGGATCAGAGTTGCTCTAGTTGAGAATTCTAAATTAAGTGAACTAGTGAGCTTGCTAGTGCTACTTTCCCATTCTTTAGTATGACATTAATCTCCCATTCTGTCCAATTTTGAGTCAGTATTGAGTATTAGTAAGTTATATAATAGAAACCTTAACGGAAATTTGCTGATTGCTTCTGGTCTCTCATGTAGACCTCGTTATGTCACCTTTGGTGATTTGAAAGCAATCTTTGAATAATTATTTAGAGATAATTTATAGAGAAAGTTGATGTATACATCTACAAATTATTACTAACTAGTGCTTCATAAAAATACAGAAATGCAGATCAGATATGCCATTATTTGTGACCTGGAGAAACAATCTGAAATTGTTTGCTTCAATACCTATTCTAAAGTATGCATTCTTGCCACTCATTTTTCAGGGTTTTGTGTCTCATAGCTACCAAAAGAGGCCTTTGAAGAATAGGAATGTTGTCTCTAAATCAAATTCTGTCCTCCTGGCCAGACTGCTTAAAGAGAAAGCTGTTCAGAGAAGCTCTTGATGATATCCTAATTGAAAATATGAAGAAAGCCATGTCCTTAATCACCATCATCACCACCACCAAAAACAAAACAGGGGTAGCAGAATGCCCAGTTACACTTCCCATTCTTTCGTCTTTACAGCATTCAAACA